CCCCAAAACCCCAAAACCCCAAAACCCCAAAACCCCAAAATACTATGATCTCTAGAAATTATAAAAATATAGAAAATGAAATCATACTTCTTACTTCTGCTACTTCTTGGTCTTTCTCTCGCAGAAAATCCATTCTCTGGAGAAGATTACGAAGCAGGTCTTATTGAAATCGCTGAAGGGGATGAACTATTCTACTGGCTAGTTAGATCAAGAAATGACAAAAATAAAGATCCCCTTGTCATCTGGCTCAATGGAGGTCCAGGATCTTCTTCAGAACTTGGCTTGTTTTATGAAAATGGGCCATGGAAAATTAATGATGATCTTACTTTGAGAACGAACGAATATTCTTGGAACGAAGTAGCTAATGTTCTATACCTTGACCAACCGATTGATGTAGGGTTTAGTAAAACAGAGCATTACAATCATATTCCTACTGATGAAGATGCAATTGCTGATGATTTTTATGTCTTTATAACTCTCTTTCTCGAAAGATTCCCTGAGTACAAAGGAAGACCATTTTATATAACAGGAGAGAGCTATGCCGGACACTATATCCCAGCAATGACTGCGAGAATTATTGAAAAGAACAACTCTGACATTAACATTGTAGCTTCTGCTATCGGGAATGGATGGGTGTATCCAAGACTCCAATACCCTGAATACAGAACTTTTGCTGATGAAAATGAGCTTATAAGTACCCTCCATAGCTACCTTCTCAAAGCTGGATTCTGGTTTTGTGATGTTCTGATAGGCACCAAGCTGAAAATGGCAGCTTATTCACATTGTGAATTCGTAGCTGAAAGCGTGGTCGGATATCCACCAGCCTTTAACAATTATGACATTAGAGACAAATGAGAGCATGGATGTTATGACTTTAGCAATCTAAATAAACTCTTAAACCTGAAGGAAGTCAGACAAGCCATCAATATGGATGATCGGAAGTATAGGAGCTCAAGCAGCAGAGTTTTCTTTAAGATGAGAAAAGATCAGCTTGACAATTTGTCTCCAAAGGTTAGATACTCATTGGATAATGGAGTCGGAATGTTCATTTACTCTGGAGATCAAGATTATATTTGTAACTGGAGAGGAGGAGAAGCCTGGACAAATGAAATCTTTTGGGATGGTCAACAGAGATTCAGAGCAGCCCAATACCAGACTTGGTCAGTCGACGATACTCCAGCTGGAGAATTCAAACAGGAAGGCCAGTTCACTTTCTTGAAGTTCTATCAAGCTGGGCATTTGGTTCCAATGGATCAACCTAAGAACGCTTTGGAGATGTTTAAAAAGTTCCTTGCTAGAGAATTTTAGAACTAAGTTTTCATAAAAATTTTCTTAGCAAAACAGCTCAATTTTAGGGCCAAAATTAGGGGTTTTGGGGTTTTGGGGTTTTGGGGTTTTGGGG